CAAAAAGGCCCAAGCTAGAAACATCCCAGGCACCAGGCAAAACAGCAACATCCTTGTTCCAAGTACTAACAAAATTATCAAAATATATAGAGCCTTACCTTCCTCTGTGTCAGCAGATGCAGTAAGGGGTGGAGGGTGGGGAAAAAGAAAAACAAGAATAAGTTGATTAGATTTAACAAAAATCTCCATTTCCACAGTAAGAATGACTGCTCCCTACTTGGCTGTGTCCTCTGGCATCAGGCTCCTCTCAGAGGAAAGATCCTGAGGGAGCTCCAGAGAGGGGACCAGCTTCCCAGGTAGGGTGCAGACAAATCCAGCCATCCAGTCCCTTTACCTGGTGAAGCCCTCATCCTGCAGGTTCAGTACCAAGTTATCTGCTGTGAGATACACACGGTTTTGTGAGGCAGCAATCTGAAAGAGAAATCCATTATGGAGACGCATAAGGGACTATAAACACACATGGGGGAACAGCACTAGGAACCTATCTCCCCCTCCAGATACAGCACTCCTGTTTTATTTCAGTCGATGCAATTCCCCAAAACAACTCTGTAACTTCCTGACTTCCATCCCAGAAGCCATCAGACTTTCCAGAAGAAGTGCTCATTCTGTCTCTGCCACAAAGACCTTTGATCCCACACTTATCTGTCCCCCCTTCTCAGCCTGCAGGGAACCAGGAGCTTTTGGTGGCTGCAGCTGAGTGTGGGTGACGGAATCTGATGTAGATCTGGCTTTATCATATGAAGGGCATGAACTCTTAGCCTCACATCTAATTGCAGATCATCTTAAGCTCTATATGAGCAAAAACAGCTGGGCAGGAACAAAGACCAGGACAGGGCAAATCACATTCGCCTTAAATTCATCACGTGGCCACTGGGCTGGGGGGACAGCACAAGGACTGCAAAGGACAAAGGGAATTCCGTGCGCCAGGTACTCACCGTTTTTGAGATGTTTTGAGCAGCTCGGATCTTACGTAGCTTGATGTAGCCTGGATTCCTGCTGAGAGCTTCCCCAAGGTACAGAGGAACAAAGTTAAGGAAAACCTGCAAACAGAAGCTGCCTGCCCTCCAGGAATTCTTCCTAAGCCATGTTAAAAAACATCTTGAGGGCTAAAAAGAAATCTCTATTCCAATAACATGGGCCTTTGGGCAGGCATGTTTTTCCTTCCCCAAATCAAGAACATTATGGATTATGGTCCAACACAGCCAATAAAAGTTAAAACTTATAGCAGGGAGTGAAGGCTCATGATCTTCTCTGCTCTGACCTGCAACCTCAGGTGAACCTCACTCCAGCCAACTGGAGAAGTGGGGGAAAAAATAACAGTGACCTACTTGAAGCTTTCATCCGATCACAGTCTCCTGAGCGTGAGCTCAGTGTGACGGATTCTCAGGACTGTCAAGCTCAAAAGCCACGTCCCACAAAATCTCCCAAAGCAGGATATCATCTTGGCAGCTGTCGCTTCCCCCTCAGCCTGAACTATCTTCTGCTTCTGCTCCTGCTTGGCCTTCTCCACCAGGAACTGGGCACGCTGTGCCTCCTGCTGGGCTGCAGGGAGAAGGGACACATGCATTAGAACCACATCGTGTCTTCTGAGCCATCAGAACCTGAGAGTGGAGGCCCAGGGGCTCTGCTTCCGAAAGAACCTATGGCACTCTGGGACCATATCCACAAGTACGAAATGTATTTGAGTGCACCTTACCTTAAGTTAAGTCCACAGCATCCAGACCCTCCACATGTAATCCCCACAGGAAGAAACATATTCCCGGCCTGAAGAGGAACCCTAGCCTTGGGAACTCAGTCCCTCCAACAGTCTATCCTATCAGCTATGGCCCAAAACTTTCTGATAATACTTATAAAGTAAACCTGTTCAGCTCCATTACTAAGGAGGTTGGAATTTATAACTCTGTACCTGTACTGATACAAAAGCAGTGACACAGTAGCCCAAATTCCACCTCCTTTTTTAATAATTCAGTGAAAGGGAAAAGGCAATCCACCCTTTTCAGGCACAAATGGAACTCACCCACTTGCTTAGCCTCCACAGCTGCTGTGTATTCACGACTGAAACTAAGCTCTGTGATAGCCACATCATCCAGGATGAGGCTGAAATCCTTGGCTCTCTCTGTCAGTTCTCGCCTAATGAGCAGGGACACCTGAAATACAAATACAGCAAGAAGAGTAGCACCAAGCACAGGGTGTTCCTGTGCACTCCAGAAGTGAAGGACAACTGCTCTTCACAGTGTGGGGGGAGACATTGCCTAAGCCCAGCTCCAAGCCATGAACATCAATACCGCCTCTGAACAACACCGCGTATCCATAGCTACACATCACATTTTCAAAACTACATTACAGCTTATTTATAATCACTACTGTGTAACTAACATTGCAGAAATAAAAAACCTTGAAAGCATCTTTGGCTTTCACATCCTACCACATCTACTTCCACAGTTCCCACACGTTTTGGCAATAAGCGCTTCCTTCTCCACCTTGAACCTGTCACTGTTTGCAGGCTGTCTTCTCACAATTGTATTCCAACATGGAAAAAAAGTGACCACACAATTTGTTACTTTTCTATTGTGGCTACTCCACTCTTTTTAGCCACTTTGGATGGGTGTTGCTGCAAGATATTTTGATTTATTACACGTTTAACTTGCCAGCACCTTTTTCAGGCAGGCTGACAAGTCCTGCACTAAATATTGACTTAAACAGAAACTATTGCTACAGTATCACATGCTTGGCCGGTCTAGCATTTGCTTTTGCTCTTGCCGCAGCTGTTTTTGAGTTGAACTCGAAAATAATGACACAAACCTTCACTGTGTGAACTGCAAGTGCCTAACTACATAAAGGCACTTTATGATAATGAGGCACTCCTCATTATCAACCCCCACAATACACATCATTTCACAGTAACAAACACTAGTAAGGATATGTGAAAAGAAGGCAAATCCAATTCAGTTTGTTCAAAAGTTTCAGAGATCATAGAATTATTCTTCTCTAAGATCACAGATGCTTAACAGCCTTTGCTGTCACATCGTTTCCACTCATTCTCTCCACACGTGAGGATGAACAAATCCCCCCAGTGCACACTGCATGGACGAGTACAAAACCCTGAAGGCCCTGCTATGGACCAGTTCTCATAATAAAACCTGGACACTTAGTTCCTATCTTCGCTTCTTTTGTCACGGATCAGAAACTACCTAAGAGATGCTTTGTACTTTAGTTGACAACTTTTCTTTTTTAGCACTCTACTGATCCTGCAGGATCTCCTGTAAAGCCTTTGAAAAGAAAAGCAGCACCTCCCCTCTCCCTCAGCTGCCATAGGCGATGAGCACTCTCAGAATCCCTGGCAATCAAATTACCACAACACAAACTTTCAGACACAGGCATTTTTAAGCTAAATATTTCTATTATTTAGCAACACCCCTCCCTCCAGATGACCCTCTCATCTTTTTCTAATCAGTGTGTGCAGGGGGGTTACAAGAGGATGGATCCAGGCTCTTCTTGGTGGTGCCAATCAATAGCACAAGAGCAATGGGTAAAAAGTGATACACAGGAAGTTCCACCTGAACACGAGAAAGAACTTCTTTACTGTGCAGGTGACCACGCACTGGAACAGGTTGCCCAGAGGCTGTGGAGTCTCCCTCACTGGAGATACTCCAGAACCATCTAGACACAATCCTGTGCCATGGATGAAGCAAGATAACCCTGTTTGGGCAGGGAGGTTGGACCAGACGAATCACTGTGGTCCCTTCCAACCTGGCACATTCTGGGATTCTACACAGAAGTACTTGCTACCCTTCTGTAGCATCCATCACTGACAGGTTAGTACTTTAACTGCTCATCCCCTTCATTTTTTAGACCCTTCAAAACTGTTTAACTTGCTCTGACAGACATTCTGAGACCCATAAATAGCCAGCAAATATTTTTTTAAAGCCAGTTCTACTGTGAACCGTGATGTAAATCAGCTCTCCCTCCCCCACCTCTCCCACTGGGGTACAGTTTTGTCCTCATGTACCAATGGGTCCAGTCTTCTTCAGAAGCAAATGATACAACCTTAGTATTTGCACTGGAATCGAGCTGCAAAGCAGGGCACAGCACCATGCTCTTTCCACTTGGACGCATCACCCGTCAACCTAAGACATTTCTCCTTTACCTGTTACAACACTCCCCACATCCACAGTTCAGCAGTTTCTTTGTGACCTGAGTGCAAGCCTGCCCCAGGCAGGGCTCACCTGTGCTCTCTGTGTGATGAGCTGGGAGGCGTTGAACTTGGCCACAACGCTCTTGAGCACCTCGTTGACGATGGAGGGCAGGACCCGCTCCTCGTAGTCCAGCCCCAGGCGCTGGTACATGCTGGGCAGCTCAGCCGCGTTGGGGCGTGTCAGCACCCGCAGGGAGATGTTCACCATCTGCAGGTCTGAGAGGGAGGAAAAGGGGAGAGGTGAGAGGCCTACAGGGAAACCAGAGAGCAGCCCTTCATTAGGGACTGTAGTGATTCACCTTTCATGGCTAGGCTTTGCAAAAGAAGATATGGGAAAAAAATTTAGGGCAGAACGACGCTCAGGATATCCGCTATCCACAGAATCGAGCATGGTTCTGATGTTCCAGCATGCTAGAGTTGATTTGGGTGCACCTTTGGAGGCAGGTGTATATGCCTTTGTCTTTTAATCTTTGTGTGACTGCATTTGTAGAAGATGGCCGTTTCGACCCTTGCCCAGCTTTGCAAATGTGGGTAAGGCCTTCGAGCCTGTGCAGTGGATTGGGTGAAACACGGTATGCGTGGAACTGAACCCACCCTTTAATCCTAAGGCTAGGAAAGAATTCTTTATGGGAGGTTGGTGAGACACTGGCACAGGTTGCCCAGGGAGATCGTGGATGCCCCACCCCTACCAGTATTCAAAGCCAGACTGGATAAGGCCTTCGAGCAACCTGGTCTAGTGGCAAGTGCCCCTGCCACGGGCAGGGACTTTCAGATCCATTCTAACCCCCTATCATCCCTTGATTCCATGAAGGGGACCGGCACTGAGGCAGGACTCCCGTCCCCTCCTTCCCTCCCTCCCGCCTCGTGGCCGCTCACCTTTGGAGCCAGTGGGGGAGGAGATTTTCCGCGGGCGCGCTCGGATGTCGTAGATGATGGGATACTGGAACCAGGGGATCCTGCGGGAGGCGGAGAGGCGTTACGGGCGCGGGCACCCGTGGGGCCAGGAAGGGAGCGGGGGGGCCGTGCCCTACCTGAAGTGCAGCCCCTCGGCCAGGATGGTGTCCTGCTGCACGCCGCCGATGCGGTTGAAGAAGATGGCGCGCTGGCCGCCCTCTCACTGCGAGGAGAGAGCGGGGGCTCGGTCAGCGCGGGCGACGGGCGCGTGGGGCACAGGGGGGCGGGGTGGGCACTCACCGTGAACACGGACTCGCGCACGCCGTAGGCAGGGCGCCGGCGCCCAGTAGCAGCTTTGAGCGCGGTGCCGACACGCGGGGCCGGCCGGCAGCCGCCCCGCCAGGTCCTTCAGGTTTTCTGCGCCATGGCCGCGCCGCCGCCGCCCCCGGGGAAGTGACACCGGAAGGAGCACCCGCCGGTTCGCGAGAAACGCGGCGCCCGGGAGCGCGCCACGCCCTCTCGCCCCGGCGCTGCCTTCCGGCGCGGCGGGGCGAGCGCGTCCGGAAGCGCGTCCGGCCGGAGCCAGATAGAGAGGCGCGGCCCCGGGCGCCATCTTGGGTGGCGGGCGGACGGGGCGGGGCGGGGCCGGCGGGCGGAGTGGCAAAATGCGGCGCCCAGGCGGCCACGTGGGGGACGCGAAGGGGGGGTGAGAGGATGAAGGGCTCCCGCTGAAGCGAAGCGGCCCCGCGGGCAGCGGCGGCTCCTGGTGGTGCTGGAGGGGGCGAGTCTGGAGACTGTGAAGGTGCGGGCGGCGAGGGGGTCCGGCCGCGCCGTGGGCGCCCTCGTCCCTCGCCGCCCAACCTGTCCGTGCTTTGGCCGTAGGTTGGGAAGACGTTCGAGCTGCTCAACTGCGACAAGCACAAGGCGCTGCTGCTGCGAATCGGCCGGGACCCCGGAGAAGTGCGGCCCGACATCACCCACCAGGTACTCGCTGGGCCCGGCAGCGCCTGTGCCATCGGGGCAGCCCTGCAGGCGGCCTGGTGACATCGCTCCTCGGGGCTGCGGGCCTGCTTGTGCTGCCGAACAGGCTGTATTTCTTTAAAAAGGAGCCTGTGCAGCAGCGGGGGAAAACGTTGACCTAATCAGGAAGCAGGGAGATTTAATCTGTGAAACAGATAGCATCTAATAATTAAGCTCTAAGTGATGTCCATATGTTAGGAAAACAAATTTTAGGGCTTGACGTGCTTCAGTGATCTCGGACCTGGTGGGGGAAGTTAATATAGCTCGGGGAGAAGGATGCACCACTGATAATGGGCAGAATTTACTGGCAACAAGGGCATTTGGCAGGACTCTCAAGATAACGAGAAAACTAATAAAACCAGCTCAAAAATTTTGTTGAAATCAGCTCTGAGTGGGTAGAAGGTAATTCTGCCATGGAGATCTGCGGCCGCTGACCGAACAGAAGACAGAAACTGAGCATGGGGACTAATTGGCATGAGAAGTGGGAGAATAATTAACCAATAGAAACTAGAATACCGGGCAATAAGAGGACTATGTAACTTGTAGCCAATGAACACTAATTGCTAAAATGTATAAATAGTTAAAAGTTTTGATAACTGCACACATGTTGTGTGGAGGGGTGCCCCATGTGCCTCAGCACTGAATAAAGTAATGTCTGCTTTCTAACCTAGTAAATGGGTTGGAGGGTTTATTTCCTGGTTTTCAGTGACACTTGTACCCTTGGAACCCAGGGGGCGAATTTGGCCTCTTGTGTTGTGCATGTGGCTTTTGGGTTTAGTCACTGTTTGAGTCTGGGCTTGCTTTCTTAGCATTACAGTAGAACTCCAGTAGTCAGATGAACTTTCAGCCTTAACATCGGTCCCTTCTGCAGTCATGGGAGCTAACCCTCAATTTACCCAAGAATCCTTTCTTGTGCCTTTCTGTTTCTACTTCTGTGTATTTTTCACTTTCAGAGTCTCCTGATGCTCATGGACAGCCCCCTGAATCGGGCTGGTCTCCTGCAGGTTTATATCCATACCCAGAAGAACGTTCTAATTGAAGTCAATCCCCAAACCAGAATCCCAAGAACTTTTGATCGGTTCTGTGGTCTTATGGGTAAGTGATTCAAAATTTATACCAGCCACAGAATAATGCAGGAAGCTGGCTAAGAGAGGAAGAACTTTGGGAAAGGTCAAAAAGTGGCACCAACCTTAAAATGTGAAACTGAGGAAAAAAAGCAGAGAAATGAAACCATCCATCTGTGATGTTCCAGGGTGCATACTCCAACTGTGTGTTCCTTAGCGCAGTGGTGAGTGCCTGCAGGAGACTGTGCTACCAGCAAAATAACTTGCTGGTCAGTACTTCTTAAGGCTGCTTCAGGCAGTGCTGGGAAATCTAAAGGTAGATTTCTTGTGTACCTCAGCTCTGATTTCCAGGCAGAGCATGGGATTCCTCCAGCAAAAGAACTGTCAGCTTAAGTAATTTTCTTCTCTTGTTTTCTCTTGTCAGTTCAGCTGCTGCATAAGCTCAGTGTTCGAGCAGCTGATGGGCCTCAGAAGCTGCTGAAGGTAAGCATTCTTTAACTGTTCACAGCTCATATTGCAACGTTCTAGCTCTGCATCCTACAGCAATTTAGGAGGGATTTCTGGGGAGGTTTTTTGGTTGGTGTCCTGTTTGCAGAGAGGGGATGGAGCTTAGAGGTGCGTGGGCACAGTCACTATTCCATACCACCCTGTCACTGCATGGGGCTGGCATCTGCTGTGGGAGCTGCTGCAGGAAAGGAACCCCAAACACTGCTGTCCTTGGAGCTGAGTAATCTGTTTCCTTGCAAGAGCCTGACTGCCATGGCTGGGCACTGACACTGGATAAACTGCAGGGACGAAGGTCTTGTCATGATATTGGATTCCTTGGATGGAGAATTACCTTTGTTGCTGGAAACACCAGAGAAGCAGCAGCCTAAGGAAGATGGTGATGATAATAAATGTTGTCATCTTGGCAGAGAATGCTTTGCCCTGGCCAGCACATCTCCCTAAGGAAACGGGTCAGCAGGCAAGGATAGACAACAAGCAGCCAGGCTTGGCCTTCCTCGCTCAGGGCTCTCTCAAACTTGGCTCAAGTATTATGCCAGAACAAGGAGCTGCTGGGCAGGAGCAGGACCTTACTGCACTGCTCATCAGAGACAGAAGCAAGATTTCCAGGTGAGGAAGGAATATACTGAACAATATATTGAAGAATTAATCATCATCAAGAACTGCTGTGACGTAAATGTACTTTGTACATCCAGATTACCCAAAAAAGGTAGAGTGGTCTTAGATCCCAGCGGCATCCTGCTTGCTAGCCAAGATAAGACAAAGGTGCCTAAAGTGGATTACATCAACTTTTCCAAACTCATGACTCCTGGTACCCATCTTGGCAAGCTCCAGTTGTGCCTGTTCCTGGAGGAGAAGGGGGACTAAGGACCCGCTGGCATGGCCAGTGCTGAGGACCTGCTGTGTCCAGTAGCTCGTGAGGAGGAGTAGGTGGTGCAAGTACTGACTCTGCCCCTGTAGGCTCACCATGCCATGGAGAACATGGAAGAGTTTGTGTACAAGGTTTGGGAATGGCAGTGGCTCATACGATCTGCTGCCTGACTGGCTCAAGGCCAAAAGTTACTTCCTGCATGGAGAGAGGCCCCCTATGCCCTCCTTCCACACCTGCTTCAAGAGCATCTTCCAGATACACACTGAAGCTGGCAACATCTGGACACACCTGCTGGGATTTGCTCTGTTCCTCTGCCTGGGGATCCTGACCATGTTGCTGCCCAATGTGTACTTCATGGCTCCTCTCCAGGAGAAGGTGGTGCTCAGGATATTTTTCCTAGAAGCAGTGCTCTGCCTCAGCTTCTCCTGGATTTTCAACACTGTCTACAGTCACTCAGGTGGTCTCACAGACTTTTTTGAAGTCAGATTATTCAGGAATTGCAGTGCTGATCACAGGGAGCTTCACTCTGTGGCTCTACTACTTGTCTTCTGCTCTCCTCAGCCAAGACTCACCTACCCCACCATCATCTGTGTCTTGGGCATCTCTGCCCAAGCAGAGATGGCCTCAAGCGCTTTTGCTCAGGGACCTGGGTGCAACTGGTGAGTAATGCAGAGGAACAGGGAAACATGATGTGTACCTCAAGGGGATTTGATTTTTGAGTAAGAACAGTCTGTAATGTTGAATTGTGTATGTAATATTGGTTGCTGAATGACATATGTTACATCGTAACTACTGTGGACAGTGAGGATGGACTGTTCCAGTCGCACTAGTTGTGAGCTCCTAGTGCAGTTTGCAAACAGCTGACAACAGCTGTTTGTTTGTTTGTTTGTTTGAAACAAACAACGGACCTAGCGATGTGGCCTTACCTCTACATCCCTGTGAACTTTCTGCTTTCTGTAGGTGATTAAGAATCCAGTCAGTGACCATCTGCCCGTGGGCTGTATGAAGATTGGTACCTCCTTTGCAGCGTCAAAAGTGACGGATCTGCGTGAGCTGGTTCCTGCAGCGGAGCCAGTTGCCATTGTAGTGGGAGCTTTTGCCCACGGTTCGGTAAGTGTGTGTATCCCTTATTTGGAGTTGTAAAGATCTTTATCAGCATAGATTTCAGTCTTGTTCTGAGTATGGAGGTTTTACCTGCCCCTTTTTTCAGGTTGGTTTCCCCCCTGCCCAGCCCCCCATTTTCCCTCCAGACAGGCTTGTCAAAAAAGCCCCAATACTGCAACACTTGGGACTGTTCTCCCTCTCAAGAGAGGGCATTAATGAGGGCTAACAATTGTCCTGCTGGAGAAATACTGTGCCTCCCCAGTTAATGGAATCACAGAATTGTTAGGGTTGGAAGGGACCTCTGGAGATCATCTAGACCAACCCCGCTGCCAAGGCAGGGTCACCTAGAGCAGGTTACACAGGAGCATGTTCAGTTGGGTTTTGAATGTCTCCAGAGAGGGAGACTCCACAATCTCCCTGGGCAGCCGGTTCCAGTGCTGTGCCACACTCAATGTAAAGAAATTCTTCCTCACGTTGAGGTGGAACTTCTTGTGTTTTAGTTCCATTACCCCTGGTCCTGTCACTGGGCGCCACTTAAGAGTCTGGCACCATCCTCTTGGCACCCACCTTTGAGATATTTATATGCATTGATGAGATGCCCTCTGAGTTTCTTTTCTCTAGACTAAACAGGCCCAGCTCCCACAGTCTCTCCTCATAAGAGAGATGCTCCAGACAGATGCTCCCTAATCATCTTTGTGGCCCTCCACTGGACGCTGTCCAGTAGCTCCTTCTCTTTTTTGTACTAATGGAGATAGATGGGGCTCAAGGAAAACTTGCAGCTTGATGGGGTTTTTTTCTATTTTTTTTTTTAATCCCTCTTTTCTCTCAGGTCAATGTTGACTATACAGAAAAGATGGTCTCCATCAGCAACTATCCCCTCTCTGCTGCCCTGACGTGTGCTAAAATTACTACTGCCTTTGAGGAAGTCTGGGGAGTAGTATGAGCTGCTGCTGCTACTGCTGTCATGGTGGACTTCTGTACAGTGACTCCACGTTCCAGAAAGGCTCTCTTACTTAGGTGTGGACCTGGTGCAAGTTTCTGCTCTTGGAAAGAAAAAGCCTTCAACTTTGTCCTTGTAGCTTCTGGAGCACTGAGACTTTAAACGGACTGCCTCACTGACCCTTTTTCCTCCTATTAAATGTATCTTTTGATTTAAAAGTGCTTGTGAATTTTACTTTCTCATGCTTCATACGTGGGCAGGCCGTATCCCTTTATAGCAGGGACTTGGCCCAAATTTGTCAAGGAACTGAAATTCTTAGCTGTGCCCTGCTCACCCTGGTGTCAGTAAGTCCCGCAGAATCACCTCGCTCGGTGGCATGTGACAGTTCACACTCCCACACCAAGGCACCTAAGAGGAAAGGAGCTGAAGCCGATGTGAAAAAGACCAGGAGCAATTTTTATCTTAGATGACAAACGTAGAAAAGTCAGAAGGTGGCTCCAATCCAACGCAGCACCTGCCGTAAGTGTGGTACAATCATCTGGTATCAGCGGAGAGACACGAGTGTCGGCCGCAGGGCGGCAGAGATAAGGCAACGGACAGAAGGTTGAGGGTCTCAAGGAGGCTTACTCGGATCCTCTCCTTCCAGGTCTCTGACCCTGTGCTTTCTCCTTCCCCCTCCTCGCATTGAAAAAAGTCATACTTCAACACAGCAAACTTGGCAGGTGATGCTTTGCTTCCGGAGTGTTAAATCGACTCCTACAAATGCACAGGTGGTACAATCTGAAAAAGAGAAGTGCTATATTTGTTTTGGTTGATTTTATGTTTGCCTTTTGCCTTGGGCTGTAACATTGCTGCCCCACTTCACCTCCTAGTCCAAGCACAGGATTCTGTCAACCTCACACAACCTTACCTTTTGGCTGTTATTCTGCTCTTTTTAGCTTTTCTTTTCGTGGCACAATTAATCTGCGAATGTAAGGCAACACCAACAGTAAGGTGAAGAACAACACGTGGCCAAAGAAATAAATAGACCTGTACACCTGTAAAGAGAAGGGGACGGTTAAGGATCAGCAAGGAGCTTTGAGCCAAGAACATATTAGAGGGGATGGAGGGAAAAGGGTTACCACATGGGTCCTCTGTTCATGGCTACTAAATACCTTCATCCATTTGTCCCAGGTGAAAAGGCAAAATGGCACCAGAGAGTAACCCATAAACATCCAATGATTAGTCTGCTGCAGCACGTAGAAGATGGGCCGCAAGAGAGTGATGGAGGCCAAAGTGCTTAGGGGAGGACTGTCCCGAACAAGGTTTATGAACTAATTTAAAGAAAAAAAACAGAATTCTCATCAGTTCGATATCCTGTGGCTGTATATGTGGGCTCTGGGGCCGAAGTTCTCTATCCAGCTGTGTAAAATGAATTTTTAGTAAGTAAAGAAGTAGCTAAATACCTCACCTGGCCAATGTTTTAATTAAGGAAATAAATTTTAATAAGCAATACTGTTCTCTCAGTACTGGGAGATTAGCAGAGGCATTCAGTTTATGTACTTGTGCTCCAATCTTTTCCAGCTGCCAAGTACTTCAGCTGCCCTCTGCTCATATGCTCATATGCTCATATGCCAAGTTCTCCACTTTTCTTCCCGTCAGCTTCTGCAATATATTTACGGTTTGCCCACACAGAAGCCAGCAACCTACTGAACTCTTTAAGAACAAAACCCTATCACGTTTGAAAATCAATTCCAAAGCAAGCAGCTATTTTTCATATTTAATCCAAGTAAAGCCTTCACAGTTTCCAGACTCAGGGGGAAGGACTGGTGCAGGCCACCCCATTCTAGTAAGTCGTACAAAGCATACCTGTCTTTCAACGATGACTATCAGCAACTCCATTTGAAAGCACACCAGGTAGCCAGAGTGCAGCCCATGCCAAATGGCCAGGAAGAAGAGGGCCAGTGCCTGTGACAGCAGTTTGTTACCCAGGAACTTCAGACGCTTGAAGATGTAGCTGGATCAGAAAAGAAACAAAGTGCTTCCAGGTTATTGTCTGTCCCTCCCTGTTGGTGTCAGAGAGGCAGGGCCCAGGGAACCATATGCCTTTGCACACCATGTGGTGACAGAAAACAGCAAGACCAGAGCAAAATGTACATCAGAACAGTCTTAAAGAAATCCCAGCTATAAGGGGGAGAAGGGGTTCATTATGTACAATTTAGCTGTGTCCCAGCAAATGCTGAACGAAAACCCAGTTCAGTTGGCACAGGAGCATCAAAAGCCATGATGTGGGAACCAGCTGTGAGAGCAGTTCTGAGGCTGGCTGAGCAGGCAGGCAGCTCAAGGGCTTGCTGTAGTTCTGTTCTAGTCTCTGCTGCCATCAACTGCCTGCCTTTATTAATAAACTCCCCCTCCAGGTGAATTAAAAGATCTCTCTAACCCAGTAACCCCATAACCTGTTTCTAATGGCACAGCAGCAAAACATGAAAGAAAGTACAAGAAACTGGCAGATCCTTCCTCTAATGCTCCTGCTCAGCCGAGGATCTCAGTTCTGTCGACACAGGTGTCGCCAACACATTATAGAAGGGGAATTTTGTCCTGCTCACCGGGCTACCCAAGCATTGGTGTTGATGTTGAAAGAAGCAATGGTCCCTGTGAACAAAGGTGTTGTCTCATACAGCCAGACCTTCATGTTGGCACAGGCATTCCACAAAGGCTTTCCATTCTGGTCCTTCCCATTGTACCCCAGACCAACAAGGATGCAGACACCTTCCTATCAAAAAATACACAAGTAAGATAAGAGGAAAATATTGCCCCTTTTTTTGTTGGAAAGGCAGAGCTGAGAAAGCTCTGACTCTCACTGTGTTGAGTGGAGAGCACCACTGCAGATGGAACAAATGGCTTAAAAACTGCCTGCTTTTTAGTTATCTAGTCTTGGCTAACTTGGAGCAAGCTGAATTAACTTGTACTGATCTCCAGATATTTGAATTTCTTCCATTTAGTGCTAAGTCCAAGAGCATACTAAGTAGCTGCAAGGGTGTGACCTTTATTCATTTGTCTTTTGCCTCTGGAACAACATGTAGACTCACCGTAACAAGCCAGCAAGTTACGTATTTGTAGAGTATAATTTTGCCCCAGATCAATATGTAACCACAACGGAACCAGAAAGGCTTCTCCTGCAGAGACAAGAGCAAAACAGAACAAAAATAAAAACGGGAGTTGAGTGGCCGTAATGGGACAAGGTAGACGAGATCTCATCACTGTCTTTTGTTTTTATCTGATGTATGTGTTGAGACTGCTGTACGGAGTAGGCTGCCAGGCTTATGCAAACTTATACATCGTTCTCCTTCCTTTGGTAATATGTGGCTGTACTGAAATAGCTACAGTTTGGGAAGACTCTGGGATTAGCATAATCATTGTGAAGTTTACACTCTTATTTAGTCACATCGACACAGAAATGCTGACAATCTGCAAGTAGGAATTATTTGTTAGGAGTTTTCTAAGCACCTCAAAGATTCTGATGAGCCTTGCAAGTTACTCTAGTGAAGTTCTTTGCATGTAATTGTTATTAGGAGGGTAATTAAAATATCATAAAATACATAGGTTTCCAAAAACAGCAGTAGTATCTAAGATCAATTATCTATTTGTAAAAGTTTTCATTTGGTTCAGTTCCCCATAACACATTCCTCTTCTGCATCAAATGGAATCCACCAGATAGGCAGTAAAGCCAAATCAATTGTGGAAAGGCTTATCACTAGTTGCTGAATTACTTTTAAATTGAGGGGAAGCTAAAAAAAAAATTTAAAAATTAACAAATTCTACTCTTGTGCCCACACCCCACACAACCAAGTCAATACATACCATATAGTCATCTGAGATGAGGTATTCATCATAGACGTACAGACTTGATAAGGTATAGGTTACTAGAAACACAAGACCCAAACTCAGGCGCTTGAGAGCAGGCACAAAACTGAGAAAGAAAAATATGAAGGTCAAAGAAATGCCTTGGAAAGAGACCATCAAATCCATAATTTTAAAAACAGAGGTGGAGAAGAGGAGGTGGGGGGACAGCAATAGGGGGTACCACATTCCACTGCAGCAGCTGCCTCCATTTGGAAGCTGGGATGCAAATATTACCAGTTTGGAACCGAGTCTGTACTAAAGATGTCAAATAACTGTTGACATTCATGCCCTGGAAAAACGCTGGGACATTAAGTGGAGAGTTACAAGCAACTTTTAAAAGACTGCCTTGTCTTATAAATCACTTTTGGTCACAGTACTCCCGTGTCCAGGCAAGAAGGCAGTTTGCTGCAGGGAACATAGAGGATTCAGTGGAGGATTCAGCATTCTAGGATCGCAGGAAGGTGAGAAGCCAAGTCACTTTATATTACCTATTGGGTCTCTGGCCTGGGACGTCAGTCATCTCACCCCTTGCCAATTTCTGATAGTCTGTCATGGAGAACTGAGGCCCAACCATGAAGGCACCATAGAAATAGGAGAATCCTGAGACCTCCAGGAAGGTAGGAACTCCCCGGACAGCAAATCGCCGCTGCTCAGGGGTCAGGAACTCCTGCACCAAAGGGAGTGGCATTAACATCATCCCGGGGAATTCATACTAGCTCTGGATGTTATGTTCTCGGCCTGCCTCCTTACTGGTTTCAGTTCTTGCTCTCCAGGTACACAGAACTTTAGACTTTGTATTTCTCATCCACTCCTCTCCCCAGCCCTCTCTATCCCCTCTCCCTCTAAACAGCAAGAAGATCCAATGGTTGAGATGAGTTGCACAGATCTCTATTCCCAAATAAGCTCAAAACATGGAAGGGATCTATTGACACGCATCCCTGTCAGCACAGTAGGCATAGCAAAAGGACTGTATCTGACTTATTCCAGTCCCTGACTGCAGTTGCATGTACTCTCAAGACCTTATCATACTACAATTCCTACTTCTTGATGCAAGAATTCATCGTCTTTAAATACTTGAAACTTCAGCTTGGGAAATTTCAGCTTGACCTTGTTTTCTTGCAGTCAGCAGTGATTCCATGGATGCTAAAGACTAGGTCAAGCCTCAAACATGAGGTGGAGGATCAAGACACTTGAAGTAGGATTAAGAGACTGTAGCAAGTGCAATGCCCTCTCCCACACACTGTGCTGCGCAACTTCTGTCACTGTTTTATCTGCTCTAAAAGGAGGGCCCTAACAAATGGTAAAGGGCAACTGTTCACCAGGGTATGCTAAAACT